CTGAACCTGGGCAGACTCCTGCAGAGCTCTCCTTCCTGCTCCCAGTGCTGCTGGAAGGATCTGGGCAGGTTTGGTCCCAACCCCATGCACTGATTCCTTGTCTCCTAGTTCTATTGGGCATTTTGCTGCCTCCAGAGCACTTCTGAGCTTAGGAACTCAGATAATCAAGTCCTTGTTGCTACAGTCAAACAGAGCTGGAGAGTCTTAAATGATTCAATCTGTTGAATCTGGCTTTTTGGAGAGTAAAGTGGCTGGATTGTTCTCTGTAGGGCACTCCTGCATGCCCAGAGGTGTGCTCACCCTACAGATGTGCAGAGGATGGTGAGACAGAGCTGCTGCACAGAAATATTCCTGTGTTGATGGAGTCCTAGGTGCTCCATTCTACAAATCGAGTGATTCTTTCATGTGGTCTGAATGACAAAATTCATAATGTGTTATTTATTCACAATGAATAAATGGATTGCAGAACCAAAACACAAAGGAAAAGTCAGTGGAGCTTGCTACCAAAAACCACATATATACTTAAACTGTAAAGAAGTGTCCCTGTGTGATTATTTCTGCAATATCCAGGATATCAGGGWATTATTTTGTCTTTGAACCATTGAAAATGAGAGAATTTGTGCAGTCATRCCACTGTTAAACTGAGATCTGGGTAGCACTGTCACCATGTTAAGTATGATGTCAAATGTCAAATCCCACAAGACGGGCAATACATCTTATTCTTCTCTTTTCTTGACATAATAGTGGCTTTCATTTCATTTTAGCACCATTGTTGCCATTTTCTTTCCACTCTTTGTATATTAGAGTCTGTCTTCTCACCTCTGAAAGACATAGCTGTAATATGCTTCATACTTGCATGTTGAATTAACCTTTTCATGTTTCATTCAAATCTCTCCCTTTCCACCTCCCCCTGTGTTTCTCCTTTGCCTTGTTTTCTCAAATTAGAGCCTTTCATTGCATATTTGGGAACGTTGGGAAAAAAAAAAAAGTTAAAAATTGTCCCTGAGAGGGCAGCTTATTGACCAGTTGAAAAGAGCTGGCTTGTCATGTCAGGGACATCTTTCCTTTCACTTCTAGCTTCAGTTCCACAAACTTTTCCCAGCTCAGTTCCCTTCTCTGGACATGTTCCAGCCTTTCAATATATTTGTTTTCATGAAGGGCCCAGAACTGGACACAGCACCCAAGGTGTGGCCTCAGCAGTGCCCAGCATAGGGGACAGTCACTGCCCTGGTCCTGCTGCCACACCATGTGCCACTGGCCTTCCCACCCACCTGGGCACACCTGGCTCATGTTCAGCCACTGTCACCAGCWCCYCCAGGGCCTTTCCCAGCTTTCCAGCCCCTCTGTCCCAGCCTGCAGCACTGCAGGGGTTATTGTGACTCAGTTACTCATTCAACTGGGTTAACTCACTTAACTGAGTTAACCAACAGCCAAGTGCTATATGTTAAACTGTTGTAGTGAGAGCAAAATGTATTGATCCAACTGGATTCTCCAGCTCCTGCCAAGGGAAGTTAGGGAGCTGAGTGTCCCTAGACTGAATTTAGACTTTGTAAATAACCCCTCAGGCAAAAACATGCAAGTCAGTGCAGGCATCCAGAGGAAAACAATTTAAAAATTACCATGCTTGAGGTTGCAAATACCAGCTTAAACAAGACTTAGTTGTTGAAAACATACAACTCCATCAGCAGACTCTGAGAATTCCCCTTAAATGCTGGTTCTGCATTTCATAAATGAGGTGAAAGCTAGAGAAGGTCAGCTAGAGGTCTCAGCTCAAAGATGAGCTTTCAAAAGTAAAACTGCAGAAATGAACAAATATTTCAAAGGAAGGAAGTTGTAGGAATTCCTGGAGAATTTCTTTTCTGAAGGAATTTGGAAGAGGTAGGATTTCTTAATGAAAAATTAACAAATGGAGTTGTGCATCATGGCAGAGGTGTTTTGCAGCAAGGAGAGGGCACCCAAACGGACTGTCCCCACAGAGTGTTGGCATGGACTCTGCTCACTTGAAATTTCAGAGTCCTCACAAAGAGAAGATCTGGACAGAGCACCAGAGATAAAAAGAAATAATAAAGTCATGTCCTGTTCTAAAAGATACATGACTTTTTGATAGACATTTTTGATAAGGGCACCGATTCGTAGCCCTCCCCAYATACCAGGAGATAGCAGTAATTCTGATATATGGCACTAAACACAACCCAGTATCCTTGTCCCAAGCAGCTACAAACATTTGATCTCTGCAAAATGAACMACTACATAGTGCCAAACTGGTAATTCAGAACAATTCCCTTGTTCCTACAGATTCAGAATAATCTTTTTCTTCTCCCTGTGTAAAGTAAAATAAAGTTGTAGGACATTTTCACTTGTAATTCCTCAACTCATACCCAGTTTTATATCAACAGTGGGAACTTGTTTTATATATATATGTCCATATTTATATCAAATATACACTCCCCCAGAATGGGATCAAAYGGTAGCATCTCTTTCTTGACCAGGCTGTTTGAAACTCTCAGTACYTAGCATGTTTTTTTAGACATCACCTCTGCCCTTTTTTATTCTATTCTGATATTTGTATAGTTTCCTGCTGAGTTCATTTTTTGCTTGAAGTTTCACCCTTTCAGAAATGAGCAGGTACCAACTTCATCCTTCTGTCTCAYTTCAAGAGTACTTTATTAAACTGAAAATAAGTTTCACAAAGCAATTCTAAAATATGATCCCCCCAAATCTGGGTGTGCAAAGATGTGTAAATTTGGGCTGCTGTAAAGAGATGATCTGGATTGACCTGGTGTGCAGGAAAATAATGATGAACACAACTTGCTATTGTTAAACAACATAAGAATAATGCACTGGGTTTGGGATAAGTCAACTATTCTGGTTTTCATCATTCATTTTCTTCTCTTCTATTTCATAACTGGACTGTTGATGTAATCCTGCCCCATGTGAGTGCTAAGTAGAAGGTTTCACAATAAATGAAATGCCATCTAAACCAGCATGAAAGAGCCACACAGTGTAATCTAAGGTGCCCAYAAGAGCTGGCAGAGGACGGGGTTCCTGATGTAGCCAGTGGAGTCCCCACTAACTAAATAATTAGCAATTAAATTCTCAGCAAAATGTTTTAATTTTGCCTTTGGTTGCCTGAGGAAATGCAGAGTTTTATTGAACTGATGAGAGGATGGACTGTGCAACAAGTGGGAAAGCAGATCTGGCTGGGATTGGGTGGCATCAGGATCCTTGAACTGAGCCCTCTGACGTGGTTTCACCAAGAAAGGGCAAAAAAACCCCTTAGGTGAGTGACTGCACAGCACAGGCCAGGGATTTTATCAGAAAGGATTGTATCAGAATTAGTAGCACTGTCTGAGAAATTTAAAACAGTCAATTCTCATCCAATGGCTGCACCTTGAGAATTTATTTCTCCCTAAATGTTTGCACTCAGGATGTGAGCAAAACCCAGGGGCAACATCTGTGCAAGGAAACAAARCAGTGTCACTGATTGCAAAGCTGGTGACATTGCTGCTTGCTGGGAACAATCCTGGGCTCATTTCAGCCAACCTGTACCTGGCAATGACAGGACAGGCCCAGCCCAAATCAGTGCCAGCAACTGCCCTGAGRATTTAACAAGGTGAGCAGTCAGATCCCACCCTCCTTGTCTTCTGGCATTTTTTAATTTACCAATASAAAGGGTTTGTGTGCACTGCACTGCATTAAATGTCAGAATGCAGAAATTTTCTACTTTCTGCCCCAGGATTTGTGTCTGTTGCTACCCTAGCAGATGTTTGTCCCTGTCCTGGTTCTGCCCAGGTGGTGTAGAATGACCTCCAGGTCCTGGCCATGCTCCTCCTGGCTACTGCAAAAATTAACCCTGTCCTGGCCAGAACCAGGACATTGCCCCAGAACAGGATTGAATGGTAGCATCTCTTTCTTGACCAAGCTGTTTGAAACTCTCAGTACTGGGCATGTTTTTGAGACACCACCTCTGCCATTTTCTATTCTATTCTGATAGAAGAACATCCTTTTATAATTAACACTATAAGTCCTGCCTTCCTATGATAATTGAGTCCTGCTCATACACCCAAGGATTGAGAGCATTGCAACATTCATTCAGCTGAATCTCCACAGCTGAGGAGCGTTCAGTGAAGGACACCTGCACTGAACATCTGATGAGCAGGTGCTGGATTTCAGGAGTTAGGTGKTGTCTTTATTCCAAAACTGAGTGAGGCTTTGAACAAGACCACAAAAAGGCACTGGAACAGCTATTGTGGWGTCTTCATGCTTGGAGAGATACAAAACCCTGCTGAAACTAAAGCCTTACAGTCTCCCAGATTCCTACGTTTTTCACAGCTAAGGCTGTTACTGTTGTACTCGAGAACCTAAATTCCACCTTGATCACACCTGAGATGCCTCCATGCTCTTGTGAATTTTAAAATTCCTTATCACAGAAMCACAGGATGGTTTGGGTTSAAAGGGACCYCAGAGACCATTTAGGGCCATGGGYAGGGATGGYACCCACTAAACCAGGTTGCTCATTRTGGTGATTTTAGGCTCAGATGTTACAAGGAGAAGGAAAGCACAGGAGTGAGGCACTGCTGTGGCTGTTTGCCARGTTCAGAGCTCTGGAGTGCCACAGGGTGACCCCAGAGGTTGGTTCTCCTCTGGTGCATTACACGGACCGAGCATCCTCTAATTTTGCACCAAAGCAGCTCTGAGGGCTCTGTCCTCAGTGCTGTTACTTTGGTCCCCTGCAGCAAACAGCTTTCCTCCAGAGACCTCAGCTCAGCTCAGAGACCCCTGCCCCAGCCCCATGCCTGCCATACTCAGCCATAAAGCTGGAAAACAAAATACCCAACCCTCCTTCCCTTGCCTGCCCTCTCAGCCTGGGTTTATTTCCCCAGGCTGCTGATGGTTGAAGAACAATTGGTTTTGCTCATCCGAGGGGATTTGCATTGTGAATCTGCCTGACCAGCCGGGAAGCAGGAGGGTGGGAGAGGAGGGGTGGGTGGAGAGATGCTCTGGCAGCAGCTCTGCCTGGCTCTCTCTCTGCCTCCCTGGGGGAAAGCCTTCCTCTCACTGCAGGCTGCTCCTCTGCCACACCAGAGGCGGGACGAGGAGGCAGCAGAAGGGTCCCTGCACTGCCAAAATCCCACACACACCTGCGGCAGGCGAACCATGAGGACGAGCTCTTTGCTCCTGCAAACTCTTCAGCTTTGACTGGAAATCTTCATCTGCCTCCACACGGGGCCATGGAGGAGCAGTACATTTCCAAACTCCACCCAGTAGTGGATTATGGAGCTGGGGTCTTTCTCCTAATCATAGGTGAGTTCACAGCCTGCTCGTTTGCTTGGAGTCTGGGAAAAGGGATGCAGGGATTCCCTGCCCATGCCGTGCTCAGGTAGAGGAACCTGGAGGGAAATGACAGAAAATGTTTCCACACAGGTTCCTCTCTTAGTGCCTTRGAGTTGGTTGRATGCCAGGATTAWWCTCCACTCTTGGATTTGGAATCTTYTGTTTTGATGCTGAAGAATGGCCAGCACAAGTCTGCCTCTGTGGCATCACAAGCATTTGAAATAAGTTGTCTGTCACTTTCTGTGGCATCTCAGAGCCAGGGCAGCTCATTCCGTGGGACTGGCCAGGGGACAGCAGCTGTGGGCTGACCCTTGGTGGGGGAAGTGTCATTCTGCTGTGTCTTGGTAGGATGAACTGCTGCAGAGCAGTGAATTGTTTSCAAATAGCAGTTCTGGGGTTTGTGGCAGCCTGTTTGCCCTGCTGCAGGCAGATTTGAAATGAAATACAAATTGGGACAGTGACTTGCATGGCTTCAGTTAAGGGTTTTCTTCCTTGTCTGCTTCTGCATCAGGCATTTGTGTTCTACACTCGTGGAACTTGTTTGGACATGCTGAATTTTTGTTAAGATTCCCTMCTTCAGCTCCCCTGAAAACTCTGGTTGATATAAGACAGACAAGCCCATATTTTGAAGTGCTTTAGTACTGAGGTTTTGGACAAAGTGCTGGGCTTTAACACTTCATACCTTGTTCTGCACAGCAGAGCACAACTCAGGGTGAGAAAATCCCTGTTTACAAAACAACCACGGGCTTTTTTAAGTCAGGATGCCAGCTCCCTTCTCACAGAAATGGAAACATGTAGATGCAGTGAAGACAGTAGGAAGGGGCAGCAAAAAAGGGCTGGAGATCCCTGTGCTAACCTTGCTCATGTGCCACCATGCTGCAGTCTCACACCTCTCCTAAAAGACTTTCAGGCACTGAAACTTCAGGCACAGCTGATCCAGAGCCCTGTGTGGCAACCAGGCTCCTGCATCATGCAGGGACTTTCAGGAATAAAGCAGGGAGCTGAGCTGGAAACGGGTGTTGTATTTATGCACAGCTTTGCCACCTCACTGGGGCTGCACATTTGTGCCCTGAAATGCTGTTTTTATCAGGAACAAAGCCAGGGCATGGGCTGCAGCCCTCACCACCAGCTGTTTGGTCACCAGCCCACAGTTACAGCGCTGTCTGGGGCTGTGGGATAGAGGGGAAGAGCTTCTGTCGAGGTAAAAGAGAGGCTGGCCTGGATGTCACCTCTGATGACAGAGCTGCTTCCTCCCTCTTGCAGAAGAAAGTGAACTGGGCTCCTTTCTCCTCCTGAAACCTGAGGATGTTCTGTTTTGGGACCCTCACTGCAAAAAACAGAGTGAGGGGCTGGAGCGRGCCAGAGAAGGGCAGGGGAGCTGGGGAAGGGTCTGGAGCACCAGGAGAGGCTGAGGGGGCTGGGAAAGGGGCTCAGCCTGGAGAAAAGGAGGATCAGGGTGGACCTTCTCACTCTCCACAGCTCCCTGACAGGAGGGTGGAGCCTGGAGGGGGGCAGGCTCTGGTCCCAGTTAAAAAATGAAAGGACAAGAGGAAATTACCTCAGGTTGCATCAGGAGATATTTAGAATGGATATTAGGAAACATTCCTTCATGGAAAGGATCGTGAAACACTGGAACAGGCTGCTTAGGGCAGTGGCGGAGTCCCCCATTCCTGGAAGGATTTAAAAGCCGTGTGGATGTGGCACATGAGGACATGGTTTAGAGATGGCCTTGGCTGTGCTGGGGGAATGGTTGGACTCGGTGATCTTAGAGGGCTTTTCCACCCTGAAGGATTCTCACCTTCTCAGGAGAACCTTTGATCACGTTGCTCCAGCACCATGTTCACTGGAAAGGAGACAATGAGATGTTTGGTGCATGAACTTCTGACACTGCTKACGTCCTGGGGCACAGCTCAGTAATGTCTGACAGATCCTTTTGCAAAGCAAYCTCTGGGTCTCATTGCACAGCCCTGGCTGAAGCATTCCCATGGTCCCACTGCACTCAGAGACCACCAGAGCAGCCATGCTCATTGTTGGGGCCAGCAAGGATGTGTCCACCACCAGGCAACTCAGAGCCCGTGCTGGGGCTCCAGTGAAAGGTGAGGGAAGGCTGGAGGAAGTGGAGGGCACCAGATGAGAGGAGGAGACAGGCAGGAGGGCTGGAGTACTTGAGCAGGAAGGAGAAGTGAGGACAGTCTTTCCCAGCACAAGAAATCTGTGGACCTGCTAGAGTGGGTYCAGAGGAGGCCACAAAGATGCTCYRAGGGCTGGAGCCCCTCTGCTCTGRGGACAGGCTGGGAGAGCCTGGACAAGAGAAGGCTCCAMGGAGACCTCATTGTGGCCTTTCAGTACTTAAAGGGAGCTTAGATAAAAAGACAGAAAGYGACTTTTTACATGGGCAGACAGTGATAGGGCAAGGGGAACATTGCAMYTCYKSCMWKGGMMRG